GCCCCTTCTCTAATGCTGATCACTCTTGATTTAGCTCAGATTCCATCCTCAGCCTGGACTTCCATGCTGTGTCTGGACCAACTCCTCTATTCCTCTGCTGCCAGGAGCCCCAATGCTAGTTCCTTTAGCTTGCACCTTCAAGGCCCTTAGATCCAGTGAGCCCCAAGCCAAACTTACTGTCCTCCCCACACATTGTTCTTCTTTCTCCCAGGTTCCCTGCAGTGCCCATGAGCAGAGTGGGGGGGGGTCCACGGGCTGCACCTCCCTTTCATTCTGGCCACACCCTGTGCTCTTGCTGATTTGCTTCCTGTGGGTTTTTGTCATCTTCTCTGTCTCTGCCTCTACTCTGGCTGCAGGCTTCACATTCCCACTCTTGTCTTGGCACCATGCTGTCTTAGTTATTTCTCTCACTGCTGAGCCAAGGTTAAAGGAGGAGAGATTGATTTAGCTCATAGTTTGTAGAAGTTTCATTCCATCCTTGGCTGGTTCCAATGCAGAGTGGCACATGGCACAGGGGCGATAGTTCATGGTGGCAGAAGACAGCAAAAGAAACAAGAGCATAAAGGAAGAAATGTTTCTTTCTGCCACCTTTATCCAAGCTGTTGGCATTAGGATGGTGCCAATCCAGTCAGTGGACTGATCCAGCAGTCACTCACTCTTCATCCCAACATTCTTAATCTCAACATTGAATCATGAATCAATCACAAACTCTAGATTTAACTACTTCCAAAAAAATCTAACAGTGCATGAGGCTTTGGGGGGACATCCAGACACAAATCATAGCATGCATCCCTCTTTACTCCTCACTCATCTTTCTTGGACATGCACCTCGTAGATGTTATGGTCTGATCTACTCCATAAAGTCTCATGTGTTCAGAGGTGGTGCTTTCAGGAGGTGATCAGATCACCGGGGAGCGATATTCTTTGTTAGTTGATGAGCTCATGGGTGAACATGCTGTGAAGAGGAGGGATCAGGTTGGAAATGACTTGGAAGGGGGTGTTCTTGTCCCACTTGGGTGTTTCTGGGCTCTGGCTGTCTCCAGGGTGTCTCTGCCTGGTCATGCTCTCTCCTGCTGTACCTGCAGCACCTCCATCTTTCACTCCCCACCTGCCTCCCTCGGGAATCTCCATCCTCTTCTGTGAAAATGGCAGCTTCTTCACTCTTAGCCCGGAACTGCCCATGTCACCATGCCTGTGACTCTGCCTCCCACCTGCCTCTTTCCTTGACCTTCCACATGGGGGAGGGTCTCCGTCCTCCTAAGTGAGTCAGTCAGTGACCTGGCCCAGCTCCCTGCCCAAAGGCTCCCTCGATTTAGATCATCGCTCCCATCTGTGTTCCGCCCTTCAGCATTGGTGGCGATTCCTTAGGACTGACCGGGGCTCGCAGGAAGGTGTACCTGTGAGTTTTTGCTTTCCAGGAATTGACAGCTTCGTTTTTATTTCCCCCCTGAAATGCATGCTTGATGTTTTCTGTATTGTGGAGCCTACAGTTCCCCCAGCAGCCAGATCAGCTTCTGTCCGCAGGTTGTTGCTGTCTGATATTTTCCTGTATGATTAGGCACGTGATGCCCGACTGCTGATAGTTGAGTGTTTCTGCTGATAAGAGAGCAGAGCAAGAGGGAAAAGTCTGGAGGGCTTTATTAAACACATATATCAACTGGAAAACACAACCATTTTTAATAAGGCTGAGAGGAGCGGTTGCATCTCAGCACAGCACACGCCACTGCTCTGCACGGGGCAGTGCCTGCCAGACAAGCAGGGAGGGCTTGCACAGCCTGCCCTGCACCCCGGGCCCAGCACTGCTCTGCCAGCCACAGGAGCTGTGTCTCTCTCCAGCGTTGCTCTGCTCTGGATGTGAACATGAAGGGGATCTGTTCTGTCCCAGAAGAGCCAAAGCTGAAGAGCAAGGCTGTGTGTGTAGATGGGTCCACTCGGGGCCAGAGAGCCTGTGAATGGGGCACCCCTGGACTCGGGGGTGAAACTAACAATCAGCATTTGGAGCAAGGCACAGTGACGCTTGGGGTGTCTTTCCAGCACCTTCTCAGATACTCAAATCCAAAGATGTCCAAACCCTTTACACAAAATGTGTTGACTTGGCCCAGAACCCAACTTGCCCTCCTCTGAACCATCGCTGGATGGTTTACGACACCCGACACCATGAAAATGCTGTGTAAACGGTTGCTATAGCGCATCCATCAGGGAATAATGACAAGAAAAACAGCCCTCGCATGTTCAGTGCAGATGCAGTTTCCTTCCATTTTTGATCTGCGGTTTGATCTCAGTTGTGGAAGCTGAATACAGGTCAGACACTAGATGACTTGCTGAGAGATGAGCTCCCAGGCCTGGGCGGTGGTCTCCCAAGTCTCCGGGCAGGAATAGTCTGGTGTTTGTCAGTAACATCCATACCCCACACTGAGCTCTGGGGTTTGTGTGTCAGTATCTCAACACTGCCCCAGGAGTCGGCTTTGGAGTCTGATGAAAGGAGAACCTTAAATCTGATGTCAGTTTTTCCAAATAGCTAACCAGAGGTCCCGAGACTGCATTCTCTCCTCCGTGCCCCAATGCCTGGCGGAAATGTCTCTGACTCAGTTTCCCAGTGGTATACACGTCAGCGGGGGCTGTATCTGCTTTGACCACTGCAGGCTGCTCATCACAGAAGGTGACTACCTGATGAATGAACTCTTCACTCTCACGCATGGTGGAACAAGACTTGTCAGAGCTCTTCTGGCAGACAGTTGGTCTGTTCTCCCCTGCTTATTCTACCAAGGAGATCCTGCTATGCTGACTGTGGGGGCAGCTTCACAAGACAGAGGCACCTCAGTGTCGTGTCAAAGCCAGGGAGGAGTTTCCCCTAATTCCAGATGTGGGTGTGGGCTTCCAGGCAGGGGACACAGCAGCATGGAGATGGGGCAGCTTGCGGCAGCACAGGGACTTCGGGGACTGGGACCATGCTGTCTGCAGGGCAGGTGACCCTATCTAGTGCACCTCAGGGCTTGTTGAGGAGACACATCCATTTCTTCATCTGCTAGTGGGTTACACTGCTGTGGTCCAAGTGCAGTGTGCATGTGCGTGCGTGTGTGGGTATGTGTGTGTTTCTTCTCCTTGGCCTGGTGAGTGATAAGAAGTCAAAGTAAGGAATTTCTTCTCCTGGCTAGTGATGCCAGAAATAAGCCGACCTCAATCAAAGACCCAGGCTTTTGCCAGGTTAACCGTTAACCCAGTCTCAGTATTCTGAGCACGCTGGGCACTGAATCACTCACTGGTTTCTGACTTTGGCTCAACTTGGGACACAGTTCAACACAACTATTCTCTGTCGCGTAAGCTTAATGCACAAGGAGCTAATTGTATTCCCTTACTTCCCCACATTCAATTCACTTCATCTCTGTAAATAAGGCATCTTTCCTAGTTATTGGAAACTGGCTCTAATTCAATGCAATTCAAAAATATTTAGCGAGCCCTTATTATGCAGCAGGAGTGGTGTGCCTCACTGTGAATATGGAGATTAGCTTGTCCAGTCATCCCGTCGGTTAATGAGTTTTTACTGAGCACTGTGCAGTAAGCACTCCACTAGGTGCTAAGAGAACAACAGCAGGAAGTAAACATGGCCTTTAACCTCAGGAGCCTGCAGTCTGGTAGGGAAAAGGGAACCCAATCAAATACACCAGTGCGTGGAGAAGTATTCCAAAGGACGCATCTGGAGGAAGCCTGGCTGCTCCACGGGACTGTGGAACAGGGGGCTGGGAAGTGGGGTGGAGATAGGAGTGTCCGCTGGGGACACAGGGGAGGGAGCAGAACTGAGGATGCAGGGCTCAGAGAGGCACGTTAGTGGTACAGAGGAGCACAGCCACCGTCCCAAGCAGGGAAGAGCCCTAGCTGGGGCAGGAGAGGCTGGGAAATTTGCTTTCCCCTGGGTCCTGGGAACACACACTGGCCAGGCCAGGAGAGGCAGGTGAGCAGCCACTGTGGTGGTGCAGGTGACAGAAGAAGATGGGTGAGACTGAGGTGGCCTCAGATACACAGACTGGAAGATGTAGAATCAAGATGCCTGGACAAGGACTGAGAATCGGGTTGGAAGAGGAAGGATTCCAGCTGGTGCATTTGGGTGCATGTCCCCACCACTCATGCTGGCTTCTGTTAGATCTGTGAATTCAAGATGGCTTTGTTGTCTCTAAGAAGAGTGCTGGGGTGGCCACAGCCTAGAGGCAGGGGCCACCTTGGGCAGTCATTAGTATGTGATCGAAGCCTTTGCAGAGGAGAAATTGAGAGAGTTGGGGAAGAGAACTGGAGTTAGGAGAAGAGACAGATCACTGCTTGGGCAGCTGGCAGGTGATGGGGGAGAGGTGGCAGGTCCTGACAGTGTTGGGCGGGCCTGGTTGGGTGTGCAAGTGTGTCTGAGTGTGAAGCAGACAGTGACGTGGGAGACAGTGGCCAGGACAGGAAGCACAGATAGATGCCCCTGAGGGTCCATGTCAGGCCTGCACACCATGGACCAGAGCGGGTTGGAGATGAGGCTGTGGAAGCCAGAGAGAGGAAAGCACCTTCTAGGACTGTGGGGCTGGGAGGTGTGGGCTCAGCGGCTCATCCTGCAGTGCCCAGACAGGGCTGAGACAGACAGGCGGGCAGGGCCAGAAGGTGGCAGCAGTCACAGGTGACTGTGACCTGGGTGTGACATTGCCAGGTAGATGGAAAGGAGGCTGCAGTGGAACAATTTTCCTGGAAAGAGACCAGCATGCAGGAGAGTTCTAAAATCTGTATACCCAACGTGTGCCTCCCTGGGCCCCCAAGCATGTCTCTTGTGCACTATTGAATATGCATGAGGGGAGGTGGTGCTGAGTAGGGCATTCCTCTTCAGAGCGGGGGCAGGGGATGCTACAGCAGATGTCACACGGGTAAACCAGGAGCCAGGGGCATCAGCGGGTCTGCGCATGGGTACAGAGGCCTCGGAAGCCGCACACAGTCCGCAAACCTGATTTGTGTCCTTTCTTCTTTTTCCTTTGCAGTCAACTTTGACCATTTTCAGATTCTGCGGGCCATTGGTAAAGGCAGTTTTGGAAAGGTAAGGATATTGCATTTTATTAAAAAATTCATCCACCAACTATGAGATGGGATCAAAACATTCAGGGAACATTTAAATATTTAAAAAATTAGCGACACATTCATGAATGACACATCGACCTGGATCCCCCTCACTTCAGAACATTTGTTCCCTTGTCCTTGGTGATACAGCTTTCACTGTAATATGCTTTTTAACGTAAGCATTAACCTTATTGTTAACCTTATTGTTTGATCAACCATGCCTGAAAGTCCAGGCCATAGGCTTACGTGTCTGTGTCAATGCGTGCATTTGGTGTCAACTTCTAGGCACAGCGAATTTCCCGTCCACAGGAAGATTTAAACTTGACAAATCTGAAACGTGAAAGGAAGTCTAATACCACATCAGGCTGAAGTAAGAGCCCCACAAACCGATCCTAAAGGCTGCTCTTTCAGCAACGTAAGCGTTGGTCGTTTAGAAAGTTTGTGTCTGGGGTCTCTGATTGATGTGGTGGAAGTCTGTAAAGATTAGGAGAGGATGGCGAGCAGAGGCTTCCCTCAAAACCGCAACTATCTTGAGGACCTTTGGGACACGCGGTGCTCTGTGACAGTTAAATCAGTATTACTATTTCCACTTCCCAGGCACAGAAAGTCACATGCAATCACTGAGACTCAGTAACGCAGGAAACAGGACAGGGTCTCCATGGTCACTCGGGGCAAGGGGGTTTCCAAGGTAGGATTTGAACCAGGACTGCCCAGTGATGGGGACGTGCTCTGGCAGCACCCCTGTATCTTCATCCCAGCCTCCAAAGCTCACTGGGCTTAACAGAGACATTTGATCCCAGAAACATGACAGACTTCAACAACCTCTGTCTCCTCTTTCCTCTTTCTCTGTCATTAGTCCAAGCTAGGACACTAGTTGAGTACATACTTTGTACCAGGCACTCTGATAATCAGTACTAACCCAAACACACACCAGAGTCTTCTCTCCGATGGTTTTACAGTTAGAGAGGAGAGAGCTGGAAAAAGATGAATATGGACATTTATGGTGCATTAGGCAGCGATCGATACATACTAAAAATACAGTCAGGGAGGGGGATACGGAGCTCTGGGTGGAAGAGGCAGGAGGCAGGTGCTGTTTTAAAAGCCGAGCTGCCAATAGGGTCACTGTTAACCACATGTGGACCCTGAAATTTAATTAATGACCGTCAAATAAAACAACGCACAGTCAGCAGTGCCTCCGCAGCCCTGGTCACATGTCAAGCGCTCAGCAGCCATGTGTGGCCCGTGCTCCCTGCCAAGGCCAGCTCAGCTGGAGAGCATTTCTACCGTGGTGATGTTCCGTGAAAGACCTTTTCCATAAGGATAAGGTGACCTGCGAGCAGAGGCCTGAAGACAGTGACAGAGGTGACATGCAGTTTCCAGGCAGAGGGCATGAGTGCAGAGCCCAGGCAAGGGGGTGTGCTTGGACGTAGTGAGGGGCTTCCATGTGGGGTGCTGGGAGGTGAGGTGTGGGGAGACATCCAGGAGGACCTCGCAGGAGGTGGTGCACATGTTGGTCATTTCTTAGATGGCCAGGGGTAGGCCCTGGGGTTCAGATGTAGGAGTGGCATGCTCTGCTATGGCTATTTGTGGAGGATCGTTTTGACTACCATGTTGCAGCCTGGGAGGGCCAAGGGCAGGTGCAGGGGAAGAGCAAGAAAGCCCCTGAGTACCCAGGGAGGCTGGTGGCTTGGGTCAGGGTATTGTGCTGGAGGTGCACTGCAGGGGCTAGAGTATGGATATCTTCTGAAGGTATTACCACATCCTACAGTCCCCAGATACAGGGCTTCTGATGGCTTCAAAAGGTTCTGCGTGTTACCTTGTCACCCAACTAGGACTCACCCTGTGACTTCACAGTGAATATTCCTCCCAGAATTCCTGCAGCAGAATTCACCTCTCTCATTGGCTGTAACTGGTCACATGACCACACCTAGCCGCTGAGAATGCTAGGAAAGGAAACCTCTTTATTCAGCCAGCTGACGGCAGACAAGTTCTTTTAGTGGAGAAGGATGGGAGAAAAGCTGGGGGTACCAGTGTCCTCGGGATGTGCAGTAGGCTGAGGTCACTGTGCTTGGGGGAAGCAGGTTGAGTGAGGTGAGGTCCTGACTGGCTGGGAAGCCCTTGAGCTGTGTGATGGATGGAAGCGTTGCCAGCGTGTTCCTAAGTCAACTGTATTCCCGGGAGAAGTCTCCTCTATGTGGGGATCATTTTCTGGTGATGGCTGCTTCTCTTTAGCTTGGGTGGTTTTGTGATGGTCTTTCTCACAGAAATCTTTCTAAAAGTCATGTGTTTGGTGTGAATTTACTTCACAGAGTGGCCCTGAGCTGGGGTGAGTTTTGCATGCTCCATGTACTGTTCTTCCCCGTATCTAGACTTACCTGTGGTCCATGCAGCAGGCAGAGCTCCCTGCCTTTATGGAGTCTCATTCCTGAGGTCCTCTGTGCCACACGGAAGGGGTGGCCATTTGTACTGTCAAGTGAATTGAGTTGCTTGTAAATTAAACTATTGCTGGGTCACTGCACAGGGCCATGCTGCACTAGATCTCACCTCCCCAAAAAAACCGAGGGCATCTTGAGGGCAGAAGTCTCACCCAGAAAGTCAGCATGGAAGCATGGTGTGGCATGGTGAACCTTGCATGTCAGCTTAGCCAGGAGATATTTGGTCAAACCCTGATCCAGACGGCCAGCTGGCTTCCTCCCTCCTTCTCCCTCCTGCCCTTCTTTTTCTCTGAAGTACTGGGGATTTAACCCAGGGAATTTGACATGAACTACACCTCTAGTCCTTTTTTTAAAAATGTTTTCTTTTGGTGTAGGGTGTCTCTGAGTCTCTGAATTTCTCAGGGTGGGCTTGACCTTCAATTCCTCTGTCTTGGACTCCTAGACTGTGGGTCGCCATCTTCAATGCTGCTCCGCTTCCACTCCTGTCTCCTCTTCCAAAGTCCTAAAACACAGTAGTTGAAGCCAGGACCAGAATCCTCAGATTTTCAGGGGCCTCAGCTCTGCCCAGTGCCCCCTGCCACCCTTCCATAGGGGCCCAGATGAGCAAAACTGTCCTTTACTTCTGTCCCTGACTCACCATAGTGCACGCTGACCTTGTCACCTGTAGGGTTCTTCCACAAAAGTGTCTCCAGGGGATAATTTGCCTCTGGACACTCACTGTAAATCCATGCCAGAGCGCAGGGTTGGCCATGGTTTCCCTCCCCCCAGAAGCCAGGTATCCATCTGAGCCGCAGCCACTCCACCCACGTGTGGGTCAGGGCCTGCTGCCAGGGACTTCCAAAGGCTGCCCTATGAATCAGTGTTCGCAAGCAGTGACTCACCCAAAGTGGTGCTTTGGGCAGCAAGGATTGCTCTTGGAGTGTTTGGCAGCATGGTCACTGAGAGGGCGAGGTGGCCTGGGACTGCATGGACAGCAGCGCTTCAACAGACAGGTAGACAGGGCACAGATGCTGACTGATGCAGGGTGAATTTCCATGTCACCCCTGTGATGTCCTCGCCCTGTCTTCTGCACGGGGCTCTCATGAGAAGTGAGAGGGGAGAGAAGAGCGCCTGATACAGTTATCAAGCCAAGCTCCAGTGCACAAAATCTCTCATTGCCTGGGGAACTTTTGTCCCTGGACAGTGGCAGGGGAGGGAGCACAGATGTGTCTGGATGAGCTGCTGTGAAATGCACAGCATAGGTGCCCCTGCTTGGAGCAGCGTGTGTCTGCACAGAAATGTGGCATTGGGTCAGGCAGTGTGGTGGTGTACATTAAAATTCCCAGAACACCTTACCTGTTGACATCTGTCACTGGTAATAAACGGTGGCTTAGAACAAGGTCTTGCAAGGCTCACAGCCTCACATGACATTCATTCTTCTTGGAAACATTGTCATTCTTGTCATAACAGTTGTCATTATGCTATCTCTGAATCTGTCTTCTCTGGTTATTGGGAGTTTGCAGATTTGATTAAAACTTAGCTAAAATATGTTCATTCATTCTTACATTTACTCACCCACTCATCCATCCATCCATCTATCCATCCCACCCATTCCATTCATCCCACCAGCATACACGGTGCAGGTTTGCTCCTAATCCCATTATAGGTCCCGAGGTTACAAAATTGAACCAGGTGTTACCTGCACCGAATCAGTTCAGTGTGAAAATTTGCAAACATACAGTGAAGTTGAAAATGTTTTACAGTAAACACTCATATCCATGATTTATAACCTACAATTAGCATTTTACCAAACCAGTAAAAACCTATCCTTTGTCCCTGTGCCAATCCACTTTATGTCTCATAGCAAATTGCAAATAGCTGTACACTTCCCTGTAAAGATTTCAGCACAGATATTGCACATAGTTTTCTTTTGTGCATGCAATAAAATGCACATATTCTGGGTTCTGAGAAGTTCATGTGCCTGGGTATCCTGAATCCCTACAGAATGTAGAATATCGAGTCCCCTTGTGACACTTTCCAGTCAAAATCCACCACACACACTACAGGTTAGATCTGTGAGTTCTAAATATTGCTGTGAAGTGCGCCACATAGTCACACCCTTTGCACTACGGTGCTTTTGAGGTTCATTCACATTGCTGAGTATCAGTTCTTTCCTCTCCCTATCAGTGGACAGATTCCATTTTATTCATAGTGCAGAATTTATTAATCCATTCTCATCATCATAACTCCAAGACGTACTATTTTGCCTCAAGTTGCTATGAAATTTTGCATAGGAGTCTTTTGGTAGACATAAAATTTTATTTTTCTTAGGCAAATAGGACTGGAATTTCTGGATCACAAAGTAGCTATGTACAGGTTTGCATTTTATTCTCCTGAGGCAGGAGGATTGCAAGTTCTAGTCCAGCTTGAATGACTTAGGAAGAACCTGCCTCAAAGTAAAAAAATAAATCTGGGGATGTAGCTCAGTGCAGAAACACTGGGTTCAAGCTGCAGCACCACAAGAAAAAAAATCACATTTGTTTCATTCTTTGCCAATCTCTGGTGG